GAATTTGTTTGCAAATCGAAGACGTGCGGAGTAATTACCGATTGGTGCAATGAGTGTTTCTGGTAAGTTCTAGAGAAGACTGTAGCATACATTTCGGCGTAGTTACAGTACCCGTACGTTCCTGATTGGGACCACCGCGGTTAATAAACTTCCTTGCTTCCTTTCTGGTCCCTTGGTTTGCATACCTGCCCAGTCAGTTACAAACTACTAAGTTCTACATACAAGTCTCTGGTGTCTGTATTGACAGATTCAATTAATCCGCTAGTAAGAGGAATATTAAGTAGGAGAAGTAGTTATTCGTCCTAGAAGGTCCGCTCGAAGCCGTATCCGAGCTAGCAATCCCACTCGAACTGCCAGACGGTGCGCTGGTTGAGGCGTTCGAAGGGGGCGCCTGGAATTTCGTGGGGCCTCGACAGCTTTCACACCCAAAGCCTTTGGTGCTCAAGCTCATCGGCAGATCATTCTGGCCGGTCCCCCAAGTGCTGCTTTTACCAGAGCCCATGACGAGTGTCAGATTGCCCCCGTCAGAGAATAACTTATGGGATATCCAGTTTTTGGTGTAGACCTTCCCGTTCAGGGTCGCCGACTGGATGTACTTATTCTGGTCGCTCAGCCCCGACGCTATTATGGTCGCGACTGCACCCGTGGCGTCGTTGTGGAGGGTGATCTTCGGGAAGTACGGGCGATTGAGCAGATATGTGTCTTGCCCGGCTACCGGGAAAAATCCTGCGATGGGCGGGTTTAGCTGAAGGGCCGAAAAGGAGATGCGAACACAAACCGAGATGGGTCCATACGGCATACGCGCCCATCGAACCAGAGTCATCGTTGCCAGGAAGTCCATTCAGGCTGGCAGGCAATCGTCGATGAGGATGTGATTGCATTTCAAGAATGGTTGACTTACGAAGTGTTGTAGTACGCCGCGACCGTAGCATCGACTCTGTCGACGGTTTTCACCGGCTGTCCGACGTAGTTGTACAGATATGTCGGTACTAATGCATGCGTCAGCGATAGATGCAGAAAGACTCGCTCAAGACGTACAGAAGCCAGGTTCATCGCCCATATCCTGCAAGCAAAATAAGTTTCCACTGACTTTACTTGGTAGTCGACTTAGACTCACATGGAAGCCGGAGGCAAAGAACGTGTCTAAACGAGAGCTGGGAATTGTAGCATAAAAAACCGGGACGAGACCTTGATAGCTCAATCAACTACGAACCTGAACGTTTCCTCGCCGCCCATTGCGCGAATCAGACTTGCCATATCGTGCGGGACATAGAAACTATACTCCCACGACGAGGCCTCATAGAACTCTCCGCCACCGCCGCCCTGTTTGACGCCTTTCAGCCAACAATTCGCAACCCAAATTCAGCGCAACACCCACCAGGAAGCAGTCATTATGCCCGTACATGGGGCTACAGTGGTCCGGCCGGAAGACGGTCGCAGAGTCGTACCGGCGGTCGTAAAACCACGTGCCATCTGCATTCCGCGGCTGGATAAATCCCCCGAAACCGATATGCTCGGCATCGGGGTTCCAAATGTTGAACCAGTCGTTTGATCGGTTGAAGTAATCGGCCATCACATCGCTTTTCTTGAGACCCTGCGCAACGAGACCGATGCTAAAATCGTTGTACGCGTATTCTATCAATCGGGAAGCGCTCCTGAAGGTACCGGTTCAAATTTAGAAACGTTTGAACCGTAAATAAATAGGGGGTTTCGAACGCACCGAGTGTTGGGTCCCGGACTGGGCGGATGGTCTCGGTCACCCGCTGGGACGAAGCCAAGCTTTGCTCGAGAATTAATCCCGCCTCGTCCTTGAACCTCGAAGTCACCCGCTACGGTGGCGTCCTTGAGCATCGCCTCAAGACCGGTTTGCCAGTCGATGCCGGCCGTGATCCCCTTGACATATGAGTCCGAAAGGAGCGAGTCGGCGTTCGAACCGCCCTGCGTGAAGCCCTTGTTCGTGGACATACGGCAGTCTGGGAGCCAGCCCGTGTTTCGGTAGATGTCTATGACCGCCCGGATGATCTCTGCCTGCGCGGTGGGAGCCGTGATCGCGTAGAGAGGGTGGATGACACGGAAGGTGTCCCTGAAATAGGTTTTGATTAGGTTGTGAACGGGGGAATAAGAAAGGAGATAATACCAGATACAATAGAAGCTGTCCCAGTACGGCTCGCTCGAGTTCCAGAGCGGGTTGTCGCCTGTAACATTCGTGGGGGCGATGTAGGATCGATACAACGAGGACCAGAATAGTTGCTGCGTTTCCTTGCTGACATCCGTAGCGTCAACCTCGACGGTGTTGAGGACCTTGTTCCACTTTGCCCTGTCTTGAGTCAGAGACGGAACGTTGAGAAAAATGCCCGGCATACCTGGCCGCATCTTTTACAGCATCGAATGCCGAAATATCAGGTATCTCCTCCTCACCATAAGCGCACGCTTTCGCGGAGCTTGTCCATGATATTCCCATCCTCACTGACAGGGTGTTTGTCCCCGGAGAAAATGCCATAAGGACCCCGGCCGGCCCACCACTTCCAATCGCCTCATCGAACGTCCCCGTCCGATTGAGACTGGTAAAAGACACGCGGTGATAGTACTTTGCGTCGACAAAGGTGCTCGGAGCGTCGAAACAGAAGTATACTTGGTACGTCTTTTGGCCAAACGACGGTATCCACCGCCCGGTTCCGGTAACGCGCGTCCCGTCGGTGGACAGGTCGGGAGAAACAGCAACTCGTCCGTCACCTTGATATCTTTGTGCGAGATCTGAACGGATGGTCAAGTCTTAACACTTGAAACTATAGTTAGGAAGTCGAGAACGCACCACTAGTGATGTCAAGCAATAAGAGCAGCTGTTCTGTGCCAGGCTTGTACGTGAACCGATGCAGCGCTGCGTGTTCGGTCACAGTAACCTCCGCGTGGACACCATTGTTGAGTGGGATACCAACTGCACTAACTGAGAAGAGGGTGATGAATTCGGGTCGAGAAACGCACAGTAGCCTGGCGATGCGGTGGCTTGCCCGTGGCCGAGAGCCCTGCGCGTATAATCCACCGTACACTTCGACAGGTCGTTATTCGCACATTCGGAGCTGGTGAGAGGCAGGAGCGGGAAGTGTCCCAACGAGGACGAACCACCGGTACCGTCGTCATGTCTATACATGCGAAGGAGGCATGGTTTCAGCTCAGCGACCGGATTCAATGCGGCGGAATTGTAAACGCAACTCACAGCTGAGAGATGCCAGTAATGGGCGTATCGTCACTCACGAATCCGGCCTGATTATCCCCCGAATGGCTGTCCGCGCCGGCCTTCACAGAACCCCAAGGGAGGGTTGCCCCCGGAAAGGCATGGCCGCCATTTGTAGTGCCAATAAACGGGTTGACAAACTGGGCGGGGTCTTGGGCGCAGACGAGCGTAAGGAGCGTAGCAGAAAGGACGACGTGCTGGACTTTCATTCTGTCATACAATGCAAGGCGACCGGAACCAAATCAGGGCGGTCGAGAGTCGAGAGGATGGTAGAAAAGAGGAGGATTTCTTCCGCTGTCACAAAAACGACCCACACGCGGCATAATCAAGCCGCACAACCGTGGAGCGTCACACACTTCACTCGACTTCCACCCAGCCTGTCAACCCACAACACGATGCTCTCTGTCACACATGTTCAAGTTCAATGTTCAAGGCAGAAAACGAGCGGCCTGCTAGACGCATGGACTCCGTTATTTCTGGGGAGTCCAATCCAAGTCGGTTAGCAGCAGCTCGCCGATCAGCGTACTGTGGCGACAGTTCAACGGGCGACAGCACATAGCACCATTCAACCTTTCAATTGGTTTCGTGCAAAGCCGCGCCCTTTCCCTGTAGGCCGAACTAATTAACAGATTTAGACCGAACAACTGCTCACCCTGTTACAGAACGATCCGAGCGCAAAGCGAACACAGAATCGTCAACAACTGGACATATGCTGCATCTCACGTTATTTATATCCCACCTTCAGTTCTGCTCCCGCGCTCTGCATCCACCCAGTTCTTGGATCTCAGACGAGGGCGTGAGCACGCTGACACCGACAATTCCAACCATCGTCTCCATGCGCGATCTTCCCGGTTGATTCCCTGTTCTCTGGACATGAAGCAGAGCAGCTGAAGCGAACCGCAAGCTAGTCGGGTTGCTCGACGGTTAGCGCTGGCTGATTCTGGCTCGTCGATGAGCTACGTTGAATCTGACGTGGCACCATGCGCCTTCAAGTTGGCCGCACCTAAAATGTATTTCCGATTTTGAAAGGTTTCTCAGGTTTCCCCACCTCGAGCTTCAGGCTGATAGCCTTGAGCTCACGTTGTTCGCCCCACGACGACTGACGGAGAGAAAAGTCGCACAAAACGGAACGGGTGAGAACGGAAGGGACTCAACCCGATTGATGCGAGCACCGCCATACATAATTCAACATGGACCAAAGTTGTTGAACGTCGAACATCGTTCGCCCGCTCTATGGGATGCATTCCGTCTATTCGGGTAACATAATCCGGAGTATTCACGCAATTCTTATCGGTTTAGAAAACAGTGCCCTGAAGTACGTGTTGAAATCTCCAAATCATTGCTGCATCGAGTCCCGACTTGTGGCACCTGTCATTTGTGAATCGTTCCAATCAAGAGAGTCAAGAAAGAAATTCTAATTAACGCTGGCAAAAAGATAAAACTGGACGCGACAAAAGATCAGATATGTCCAGATCAGTCCACAGGAGGACTCGAACCTCCGCCTCCCCGATACTCGTGCCATTGCGTGGGCAAACACAGTATATTGGGGTGATCTACCTCTTGATCCATGTAGGCTCGAGGCAAAGAGAGTCGGGCTGGGGTATGTGTGTGTCAAGAAATGAGAGGGAGGAAGGAATGAGGAATTTCAACGGGAGGCAACTTAGACCTCAAGCCTCTTCGAAAAAGTTTTGCTGAGAAAAAGGAACTCAATTATTGGGGCGGAGAATGAAAGACGTGGGAGAAAAGAAAAAGAAAAAATCCAGATGAGCGCCCACAGAAGGAATCGAACCTCCGTTTCCCCGATATACCTCAATATCTCTGGGCCATGAGTTCGGGGCGATCTACCATTGATCTACGTAGGCTTGCAGATAAAAGTGGACAGGGTCGGTCTATGGGCGCGAAAAGAGAAAAAGAAGGTGCAAGTCAAGAAGGCGGGAGTACGACTTCAACGAGGCAGAAAGAAAGCCAGAACAATACATTTCGAGGACAGTTGAAGTAACAACTCTCACTTCAAAAGGAGAGGAGGCAAAAACCATCGGAGAGGTAATTAGTGTTCGCGAGCCGAAAACTTAAGAAAGGAGGAAAAAATGAACAGCCTTTGGGAGGAATCGAACCTCCGTCTCCTTATGAATAATCCACCAGATATGCCGTTCATTCGGAAAAGGTGATTTACCATTAATCTACAAAGGCTTCCTGAACAGTCTCGTTAAAGCATTCATAGACCAGACGCCACCGCTAATACATGAATTACTGCTAGGTCAAAGCGTGCAGGACTCGAGTCTAAGCAGGGGAGATAGCGCGCGTCGAAGCGAAGTAGCAATAGCATCGACAGCAGCAGAAACGCCCCAAAACGTTGGTTACCGGAGAACTGTAGTGCAAGAAACGGCGAGGGCTTGTGCGTGGTGGTACAAGTTGGAAGTTGAACGCCGCCGCCGCATCAGATCGGCCGATGTCCAGCCCCCATAATGACTCAGCCCAGATATCAAATGACGCGTCGCGTCGGCGCCGAAACGGACACATGTCGGCCCGCGTCAGCGCGCTGACATCAGCATGCTGCGGGGCGTAAGCAAGATGACGCGCCCTCCGTCGATGCCCGTCGCCCAATTGGGAAGCACTAGCAAAGAGCGAGTTCCGACAAAGTCAAGGAGCAGAGACCAAGCAGAGACACACACGGGAAATGAGAGTAACAGCCATTCATTTATTTTACCGAATCACACTACTACTACTGACGAGACGAAAACAGAGAGACTAAGACTAAGTAAAAACAGATATGGACGGACGAGGAAAACAGAGAGATGGGAAGGAGGGTGGGGCGCAATCGTCTGACTGCCCATCCATGCTTCCAAGTAAAAGCAGGAGTAGAAGTCAGGATCGGCAAATATATGGTACGTATTGTATTGTAATTGTATTGTGGATTGGATTGGACTGTCTATCAGGAGGGGAGCCGTCGAGATAACACGGAGAGGGGGAGGGGGAGAACGAAATGGGGGATGGGATGGGATGGGATGGGGATGAGGCCGCGTGAGGATGCACAGCCGGATAGAGTGTGTAGCTGGGTGAGGATGAGGATGGGGAGGCAGAGATATCGTCGCGAGTGAGATCGTGAAGTAAAGTGAGGTGGGGTGGGGTTGGTGGTACGGCGCCCGAGCACGCCGCCGCATCGGCGCAGTCGTCGTCGTCGTCTTCACAGTGGTGGTGGTAATACATCCATCGTGGTCGGAGCCGAAGAGGTCGGAGTCGCAGTCGGAGAGAAGAGTCGAGGAGAAGCAGAAATCTATACAGGCCGTAGCCGCACCCTACTTCTTGATGCTCAAACTCCGCATGCTCTCCTCCAAACAGTCGCTCAGCGCCTGGTGGCAATGCGACGCCTGCTCCCGCTTGCTTGGTACTGCCGGCGCGATTTTCGGGCTCGCAAGGACCTTGGGCGTCGCCGCCGCCGCAACCCGCGGACTCGTCGGCACCGGCTCCACATCCACCACCCGCACGACCGCCCGCCCCTCGAGCACCTTCCGCACCTTTTCCGTGTCCCAATTCTGCCTTGCCCCGCCTGCCGAGGAGTTCGAGGGAGACCCAGGCCCCCGCTCGCTCCCCGAAAACGCATCCCAAAACGCGCCCCCAAGGCGCTTCAGTAGCGTCTGGCTCGCCAGCGCCGCATACATCGCCGTCTCCCTCTCTCTCGCGCTCTCCGCCGCCCGCTCCCGCTCCTTCTCTCTCGTCCGCTCGCGCTCCTTCTGGAGCGCATTCCCCTTGCCCGACAGCGACAGCCCCGACAAGCTCGCAGCGAGGTTGCTCGCCGCGTCCTTGCTGTCTCTGCTGCCGCTCGTGGAAGCGTGGTCCTTCCCGCTGAACGTCCCCGCACCCGCAAACGCGCCCATCGTCGGCGACGCGAAATACTTCGGCCGGAGCCCGCCCGCAAGGCCGGAAAGAGGGAACGGCGGCGAATGCGGCGGTGAGTGCGTCTTGGCAGAAGTGAAGGGCGACGCGTTGGCGAAGCCGCTGCTGTTGTTGCTGCTGGTGAACCCGCTGTTGTTGACGAACGCAGACCCGTTGGCGCCGGTGAACCCGCTGTTGGCGTTCCCGCTGGCGAACGGCGAGGCGTTGAAGAGGGCGTTGTTGTTGTTGTTGGCGGCGTTGTTGTTGGCGGCGTTGTTGTTGCCGCCGTGCTCCTTGTTGTGCCGGTACTGCGCTGCCATGCGGCCCCAGAGGTGCATGCGGTATCTGTGGACGGTCGTCAGCGATGTTGTTGAATGTGAGGAGGGTGCGGAGGGCAGGGGAGCAAGTAAAAATAGACATACGCATCCAAACTCCGCACAGTAAACGGATTTGCGTCGCCAAACGCATTCTCCCCAGGGGTGCCGGTGCCCGCACCAAGCCCGAGGCCCGAGCGAAGCACTTCCGCGACCTTGCCGCCGTTGAGCGCGGGGTTGAGGTTCTCCTGCTGCGCGGGCGGGGAGGGTGTCTGGAGAGATATGTCAGTCATTGAAATAACCACCCAAGGAGACAAAAAACCCACCTCGACAGCAAACGGACTCTGCGCAAACGGATGTGCGCCAAGCAGATCTGGTATCCGGGCGGTATGTACGCTCGTATACCCGCCCCCGAGCATCGCAGGCGACACGCTCCCGCCCCAGAACCGCTGGCTCGTCGCCGACAGGTCCTTGTGCGTGTTGGCGCGGGGGAGCGCCTCTCTCTCCTTCTCCTTGTTGGCGTTCGCAGAGGGCGACCCAACAGCAGATAGAGCAGGCGACCCAGGCGCACTCCCACTTGCACTAGGCGAAAACGCCGTGAGTGCAGATAGGGAAGGCGAGAGGGGTGCGGGTGGGGGGAGAACGGGCATCTGCAGCCCCCCGCGTCCTTCGATCAGCGTGCGCTTCAGCGCCGCGATTTCTTGCCGCAGAGCGAGGTTCTCGGATTGCGACGAGCCAAGCTCGGATCGGATGGCGGAGAGGAGGCGGTCGCGCTCGGCGATGTTGTCCTCGAGAGTGGAGATGTATTCTGTGGGAATGGAAGTAAGTACGGGTTGCAGTAAAATTTTGAGTGTGGAAAATACGGGTGGGACGTAAAATGATGGGGGACCAAAACCCATTTTTTCGAGGAAGATGTGAAGAGACAAAGAAAAGAAGGAGACGCTACCAACCTTTACGGCGAACACGGAAGTTGCGAGCACTGATCTTATTCCGGAGCTGCCTCTTCTCTTTGCTGCTCATCTTCTGGAACACCTCCGGCGGTGGGCGCCAGTCGGCAGGCAGATCGTCGTCGTCCTCGTCGTCATCTGCATTGCTGGCGCCCTTGCCGCGCGGCTTGAACGTCGTGCTGGGCATGAAGCTGCTGTTTTCTTTGTTGAGCGAGGCGCCGGAGGAGTACGACGTAGAATTTGATTGTGTGGAGGCAGCCGAAGAAGACGCCGCCTTCTTTGAGATCCCGCCCGAGGCGACGGTGCCCTTGCGAGCCTTGCCGTGCCCACCGACCTTGACGGGTGCGATGGTGGTCGACTCTTCTGGCGAAGAGGCCTGAGCCTGCGAGCCCGAGCCAGAGCCCGATCCAGAAGACGATCCAGGCGACGTCTGGCTGTCAGACTCGAAGTCGGCGTAGCTCGCCTGCGCGGGCGAGCCGACGAGCTGCGGGTCGATGCCGAGCATTTCGCTGGCACCACTCAGCAGCATGTCCGTATCCGCCATCGTGGGGCCACCGCCGCCGCCGCCACCGCTCTCAAGCGTACCGGGGAAGGCGCCTACGCCAAAGAAGTCGTACGGGATGCCGCTGAGCATGCTGAGCGGGTCGTGCGTCTTGACATCCTCGTCGAGGAAGTTGAAGAACGACGGCGTGGGGCTGCCATCGTTGATGTCCGGGAAAGACGCCTGCGGGGGTGCCTGGGGCGGGGTGAGGACGTGGGGAGTACTCTCGCGCGAACCCGAAGACTGGGAGCTGGAGCTGGCGGCGGAAGAAGGGAGGGAGAAGAGCTCAGTGTGGAAAATGTCACTGAGGTCCTGGGAGTAGTCGGTGTACGGCGGGGCATACAGCGGCTGCGACATCTGGCTGTCGACGAGCATATTGAGTTGTGGATGTGTTGTGGTGGTAGAAGACAAGAGGGAAAATGAAAAGGGAGTGCGGTGGGGGCGCGGCTGACTAATCGTGGCAAACCTTGCCTTTGTCTTGCGTGGCTGACGGCAGCGCTGACTCGGCATCGGTCCCTAATCATTTTGTTCGGCGGCATTCTACGACCACGTACAACAACATGCGCAGTCCTCCCCGCAGTCCACCTCATCCCTATCTGCCTCGACGTTCCTTGTAGGCAGCAACCGATTTTTTGGGGTACTCCTGTTATCTCCTCGTTTCCACGGCTATCTCCTCCGTTTATCCGCGATTCATAACGTCTAACAGGACACGAGCAAACCCGCAGGCACGGCGACATCTTGTCTACCAGGCTCGTGGATAAACCCCACCAGCCTTGGTAGATTAATGGCAATTGGCCGACTAAATCACATTCTGAGGTTGTCAAGAGGTTCGATTGCCAAAGACTTTTCGCCTTTCAGCTCTGTAACAGCTGTTGGCTCTCACTGGCATCTTATATTTTCCTCCTCGTCTCTGGACTGCGTGCGTCCTCCGGCTTCGCCTTACTTGAATCACATATAATTTATTTCTCTTCCTCGCCTTCCTTCAAGTTCGGCGTCACCAATAATATCATGCTTCCTTTCATGTTATGTATCTACGTGCAAACATCTCTCACCCATACACTTAGCTTTCCTCCCTTTCTTCAACGCTTGCATAGATCAGTGGCAGTCCAAACAGCCAATTTATCGAAGAAACAGAGGTTCGATTCCTCCTGCGGGCACTGCATCATCCACGCCGCATTTTACTTTTTTCCCTTCTTCTTTTCACCTCCACACCCTCCAACGCATTTCGTTTTGTATTTCACTCGCGGCTCAAAGAGTCGCGTCTCACAGATGTTCAAGTTCTGTGTTTGTTTCTATGTTTTTCTTGTTACTTCCTCACAAATTCCGCGACATCGAATGTGAATGTGCATATATACCCCAGCTCATCCCCATACAGGAAGCCCACATAGATCAATGGTAGATCGCCTCGAATAATTATCTGTAACATTTCTTTGATATCGAGGAAACGGAGGTTCGAATCTTTCCGTGGGTATTCCCTCAAAACAGCATGACCTTTTTTGCACCCACAACTTTGATTTTATTCTGTTTTATCTCCCTTCCAAGCAAGAACACTCTATTTTCCTTACAGCTGTTGAACATCAGAATTGAACCTTTGTGCCTTTCGGTTGTACTTAAATCTTTTTATGAGCTCGAGGTTTTCTCCGATTATATTTTCAGATGAACCTTCTCCTCTTTGATAGACACCGTTAAATCTTGATACACACATACCCTGCCTGCCTTTGCATAGAGGAAGCCCATGTAGATCAATGGTAGATCGCCTCAAACTTGTATACGGATAGCGTGGTAACAGGGAGACGGAGGTTCGAGTCCTTCCGTGGGCATTTCCTTATTGTCGTCTTTTTGCGCCAGACCCGACTTCCAAGTTCGTTCCGTTTTATTTCTCTCTCGGAGCAAGAAGGCCTGTATTCTGTGCAGCTGTTGAACCTCGCTCAATGCCTTTTGGTTAATCTTATCACCTTTTTCCTCTGGAGGATGATTATATTCCACCTGGACCACCCTTTTTCTTCTATAGACAACGTTGAATAACGATGCATACATACCCCGCCCACCTTCGCATAGAGAAAGCCCATGTAGATCAATGGTAGATCGTCTCGAAGAATTATGTCGATGCAACTCAAGTATCGAGAAGACGGAGGTTCGATCCCTCTTGTGGGCTATAAATACGCAATCTCCTTTTTTCCCTTTCTCTCCTTTGGTTCGGTTCATCCAGTTTCCGAGTCGTTTTTTTCCAGGAAGTTCGGGAGTTGGAAAACCCGGGAAAATTGTCTGGCGGCATAAAGCGGCCAGACATTCGGCTGAATCTCGATCGGTTCAAGCTCGGTGCCAAATAAGAACAACTTTTCTCGCTCACTACAACACCTTCTTCAACACTTTCTTCTCCGCTCGTGATGGCAGTCTCGTCTTCCCCGGCATAAATGCTGACAGCGATCCATTCAATTCCTGAGGACCACAATGCCTTTATGGTGAGCCGTAATTCTAGTCTGGGGTCCCTGATCACTATTGTCTGTGGCATAGATATTTACCTCATGAGATCGTGTGTGGGTCGGCCGTCTCTCGCTCACTGATTGTAAGCTATTGGACGTAATCTCAACAGTGGTACTGTGGGTTTCCACTAAATGTGCCTGCTACACTGTTAATTTTAAATCATTTAATCCCCAATGTTGGTTGATATACTCTTATGATACATACAAAGCTGCGGAGGCGTATAGAGGTATTTATCGGTGCGAATAACGCGTCGTGGGCCCTGTGGCCGCGTCCCCAACGCGTCCCGGTCGCGTCACAGAATTGCCGCAAGCCTTTTGTTTGCATGTGTTACCCTATTGTCTCAGTTCTCGCGATCATGCCGATTATCTGGCCGAATGTCTGGCGATCACTTCCGCCAGACAATTGATGCCAGATTTTCCATATCCCGAACGCTCTCTTTTTTTCCGTCCACGCTGCTCTTCTCCACGATGAACTCGCTCAACTACTTCTATAACTAGAAATTGTCTACCGAGAAATCAACCATTCCAAAAGGAAAATGCAACAGTTTCTGATCTACCCAGCCTCCACTTACTTGTAGGATCCTCCTACCTCTAATAATACCCACTGGCAATCATGGTTCAGAAAGCCTTTGTGGATCAATGCAAATCGCCCTGCGAAAGTAGTAAGGCGCTAATGTGAACGATGCAAAAAAGTCACTGGGATGATCTGGTTGAAAGGCAAGTACAGTACAGAACACCTTTGTGGATTAATGTAAATCGTCCCGTATTCCTTATGGCGAACGCTGGTAATACTGATAGCGGGAAAATGAAGGTTCGAATCCCTCCAAGGGTATGATATGATGGGGAAGCATAGGGCTTTTTTTAGGGCGAATTCTTTGTCTTTTCCATAGGCCATACAAAGCTCGTCGACTCAGTCTCAAATTTAATTTCATCAAATCATACAGGATTGTGGTTGAATATTTGATCAGTGCCCAGGGCGCTCTCAGGTTTCGATTGAAAACTACGGAAAGGAACACTTTGTTGGTCAACGCAACTGTTGTTGGGGCTTCGCGCACCACGAAACAACTTATTTGCACACCGCAGAGAACAATACGACACAGACGGGCCAAGGCTTAAAGCGGCTTAAAGGATACAGGAAAGTTACTAGGATAATTTGAAACACGGGAAACATTTGTGGGTTAACAAGAATCGATCTGTCTCAATTATTTGTTGACTTTGCAGGACGTTGGGTTTCGGACCCCTTCGCAAAGGCATGATATCTTTCAGTATTCCCTAATACATTCTAATGAAAAAAGCGGCCTGAACAATGCAGCAGAGAAGTTGCTAGGATAATCCAGTTGAAAATGAAGTACTCACAACCTTCGTGGATCAATGAAGATCACTCTGGTATTCGTGCGAGACTGGGCTGTCCATATTTATCAGGAACACGAGGGTTCAACTCCCTCCGAAGGCATGAGGTGAGAAGCATGTTTTTTCGTCTTTTCCGGAGGGCAGTTTTGCGGACTGAAATCATTTATTTTGACATCGAAAATGCTCTCGCCGTTCACTTGGACCCACGTACGTAGCGGCCAGGTTCCCGCACAAATGGTCTATTCTGGAATGTTCACAGTTCGGAGGAATACATGATTGGCCTTTGAAATGTTCACTAGGATATGATCTATGAACGCGTGGCACAGCCCAACCGATTGGCGGGAAACATCGGGATGTAACGCATTACATATGAAAACCGCGACCGGACTAAGCAAAGTTCAGAGTGGATGGAATGGAAAGTTTTCATATCGAAACTGTCGAAATCACGCAGATCTAGGACAATACCAAAGTGAGCAAGCGGGAAGATATAGTGGAACAAACAGTAGACACGAACAGTGTACATCCAGACCACTTTGCGGAGACGGAGCCGGAGAAGAATACACATAAACCAGTTCGGTGGGCATCTGGCGAGGTAGATATCGAAGAGGAGGGAGGGCGGCCAAAACACGGTCGCATGTTGTGTTGACAAGTGTTAAACGGTCCCTTAATTCGGGATGTCGAGCTGCGATGAACCTCGTAGCATTGGTCAACCTAGACTTAAGAAGAAAGAGCTGGAATCGAAAAGGGGATATGATATCGTCCGTGGGAAGAGGTTCGTGCCATTTAGAGGAAGCCTGTACACAAAGAGGGGGAAATGAGAAGCAGAGATACAGCATTCAGATTACCTACCCCGACTGTAGGAAGGACATCATGCCCAATTCCGCTGACACTGCGGTCAAATCCGCTGTCCAACTTGGAATCGCTAATTACGGGCGCCAAGGAATCCGTAGGGGAGAAATCGACGCGCTGAGATTGAAATGAAAGAAGGTGGTTAGTCCGGCACCACAATATTTCGACCAAGCAACTCACACGAACTGCACTGGCCGAAGAGGACACCACCTTCTTGGAGATTCCGCCAGAGGCGACGGTGCCCTTGCGCGCCTTGCCGTGCCCGCCAACCTTGACAGCCGCGACCATCGTCAACTCCTCCGCCGACGACACGTGAGCCTGCGAACCCGAGCCAGAAGACCCCCTGGGCAACGTCTGGCTGTCGGACCCAAACCCGGCGTACCTCACCTGCGCGGGGGAGACTATGAGCTGCGGATCGATGCAGAATATCTCCCTTGCGCCGCTCAGCAGCATGTCCGAGGCCGTCCTCGGGGGGCCGCCGCCGCTCTCAAGCGTGTCGTGCGTCTTAATATCCTCGTTGATGAGGTTTAAGAACGACGGGGCGGGGCTGCCGTCTTTAGCCGGAAAAAAGGCCTGGGGCGCCGCATGTGAGGTACTCTCGCGCGAGCCTGAGGACTGCCAGAAGCTGGAGCTGGAGAAGAGCTCAGTGTGGAAGACGTCGCTGAGTTCCTGGGAGTAGTCGGTGCGCGGCGGAGCGTACAGCGGGTATGACATCTGGCTGTCGTGGTACAAGAGAGAAAATGAACGAAGAAAAGGGAGGACCTGGCTGACTAATGATGCTGAACTCAGAAGACGCGGTCACATGATCAAGCCAACACGCGTAAAATCACACAGCACATTGTACCTAGCTTCCTCTTGGAGCACTATGTCACTCGAGCGGGGATTCTCAACTTACCATCCGGGGTGTTCTTTTCCCCCGTATCATCAATCCATTGAACTCTAACTCCATGCGATTCTAATTGAAGGCGACGGGACTCGGGAGTTAAACTGATGGCGCCTCCAGCCTGCGGACTCGTTCGTTTCAAAAGGGAGTTCCCTGAAAAATTGCCTTTACGATTTGTAGAAGCAAGGTGCTAGTAGAATATTCAACGAAGTCCTGCTGTTTCTCAAGACCAAGTGGAGATCCACATGACTCATTTTTTGGCGGAGTTTTAAATAAATCGCCGTCGGAAGCTTGCAAGCGACGTTCTTCTTCTTCCCTCCACAACCACGGCGTCCAGCCAACGATGGACCAACGTCCTACCCCTCTCCCAAAACTCCAATTGACGATTGCGATACTGATCCAAGCTGCAGAGGCCTTATCAGCGTGGGCTGTTTGGCTAATGTCGCATGATGCAATCCGCTCAAACCTCATCTAATTATAGGACTGTTATCTTTCCATTCGTACCGCAGTTTGTTCGTGATACCGGGATTACCGGCGGAGACGAACGGAAGACAGGATACTGGGCAGGAGTGCTGGTCAGTCACTTTTCAGCTCCAGAAACCGCGCTTTGCAAAGCTGATGGCTTCAATTTGACAAGGAATCCGTATTTTTCGTTGCCGAATTTCTGTCCGTATACTCCTGGGGTCGTGCCTCAGATCGCCTTGGAAGGCGACCTGTCCTTCTGCTGGGTCCCCTTGGTCTAACATTCGCCATGATTGGTTTTGGGTGGTCAACCACATTCGGATCGCTCGTTTTTTTTCGGTGTTTGCAGGGTGTGTTCAATGGCAATATAGGCAAGTTTTTCTTCATCTTTTATAACTATGGGGAGGGTTTCCGATGTCAGCTGACTTTTCAAACCAGGGGTGGTCAAAACTGTCATGGCAGAGGTGGATACTTGGAAGAACATTCCTTCCTTCCTTGTAATTGACGCCTTTCGTTAGATAGCAGATTCCTCCAACCTGGCCCAAATAATGGCCCTCATCCCTCTAGCTTGGAGCTCGGGATCTACTCTAGGGTGCCGTACTTTTCTAGCAGCAGACTCAGGCTGGAGAGCATTAACACACGTATTTTCCAGGCCGATCATCGGTGGTCTCTTATCGAATCCGGAAGAGAGATGGCCAAATTCGTTCGGAAAACTTCAATTATTCAGAGAAAATCCTTATCTCTTGCCCTGCGCAGCAGTCGGATTTCTCACTCTGTCATTCTTCTTCCTCGGGCTCGTGGGCCTCAAAGAAGTGTGTCCTCTTCCTGAATTTTCTCACCCAAATATTGAGATTTTTCAAGTCATCACCTATGATTTTGGAACGGCAAAAACGGGAAAGACTCCGGCTGTCTGCTTCATCAGATCCCACTCTGACCACCAGCTTAATAGCTGGAGACAGAACCACTTACGGAGCCATTGCGGGAGCTGATGTTGTTGAGACGTCCTCTGAGCCCGGCCAGCACAGTCTACCCATCGATGAGGAACTTCCTTCCATCCGGGAGCTTCTCGTTCCTCGACTCCTGATCCCACTACTGAATTACGGCTTCTTCTGCTTTACGCAAACAGCG